AAACTATTTATTTTTAAAGACAGTGGTGTACCGTGGATAATTAAGAGGGAGAGTTTAGGATTTGAGGGTTTAGAGTTAATTTCAAAAGTGAAAAGAAAGCCTATAGTAGGTCAAGGGACTGAAGAAAGTTCCTCCTGCTGGAATGTGTTTGCTGTTAATTCAGTAATACTGTTCTCACTGATACAGAGCGAGGTCACACCTCCTTTTGCTTACATCAAATGGACCTCCTGTGTAGGGCACCGAGTCACAGCACGTGATGTTGCACATCATTTCTCATCCTGGCTCAGACACAGGTTTTTGACAGGAGACTTAAATTTCGGTTTGCCTCGCCCCTCTCTCTTTGAAATTAGTCTTATGCTTGACCATTTTACACGGCTGTCACAAGAGTAAGGCCAATAAAGACTGTGAAATATTCACACATCCAATGCTAAGGGCCTTGGAGATGCCAAGGGAACAGAAGAAGTCTGAAGGAAGTTAGGGCTGAGCCTGAAGAGACCCCAGTTTAGGAATAGCTTTGTACTTAGCAGCTCCTCACCCAGGGAGGTCTGACCTAAAGCGGTTGCTGGCCTGAATATCCTCGAGTTGTTGGTAATTCCAGGACAGATAAGGCTGGAGGCGGTAGCTCACTTGGCTGTTGAAAAGCAAAGACCAAAATTTTGGTATGGCAACAGGAATGTCAGCTCTGTGCAGAGAACTGAAATGTCCTTTTCATCCCAAAGGGATTTAATGAGTGGATGGGGTCTTCCAGGGAGATATCCGGATCAGTTTTGGGAGATGTAATAGGAAAGTGCTTTACAGGTAGTTTATAAGAACGGTCTTTCTGCAGGACTGGGTCTCCCTCTTTCCATCACTAACCTTGGCGTTGCTTGAAAGCACTTCAGAAATGCTGCAGGGTGGTGAAACAACAGCCTAATTACAATAATTTGCTTTGCCATTTCTTATAAAAATAACAGTTAGGCTAAGTTCATCAGCTGTAATTTGAACAAGTGTTTCTCTAGGATTTCAAGGTAACTCACTATTAAGAAGTCCTCTCAAGTGCTCACAAAATGCCTCATAGGTGTTAAATTTAGAGTGAAGAGAGACCAAATACATAGTCAGTACTATTCTTTTTCCAACTTTTTTATCACTGAGATGAATATCGTATCGCTGTGTATCCTTCACTGACCAAGAGACTGACTGAAATAATTTGGAAAATGTAACTCTCAATTCCACAAACCCAGAAAATATTTTTCATAACCAGGTGCAGACTTGCAAAGCTGGTTCTTCTAGTCTTTGAGATGCAGACCAGAGCAGAGAATTTTCACTCTGTGCTTATCGCAGCCCTAAAAGCCTTTATGAAATGGTGCTATATACGTATTTTTTATTTTTTTTTTAAATGTGGAAGTTGCATTCCCTGCTCAATCCCACAGTGTTAATCCTGGACCAGGATTTCCAGAGGTGTTGGGAGCCAAGTGCAGTGATGGGTCTGCATATAAAGCAGCCCTGGCCAAAAAGGGCAGTGTCCTGGCTGGCAGGAGGTTCTGAGCCTGCTGCGGTGGCAGCTGGGGATGAACTGAAGTCTTGAGCTACCTGCTGCCCTCTCAGGCTTTTGGGATACAAGAACTTCACTCCCTCCTGGTAAGTAGGTTGGAGGGAACAGAAAGCTTTAACGCCTGCATTGTCTTCCCGTCGGCTGTATCCCCCAGCCCTCTGCTCCTAACCCATGCATGGGATGGGTTTTGAGGCCCTTGTTTGAAAAGAAGTTCGTGAGGGAAGAGTATTGGTTTTTCTTTTACTCGTGGACATGTTTAGATCATATTATGGGCAGTAAAATATCAATTGGGCATTAATCTACCAGAGAAGTCACTGCCTGGAGGGAGAATGTAGGACATTTTGAGTCTGAACAGATGAAAAAGCTGCATTACCCGGTGCAGTTTGTTTCTGATCAGTCTCTCCAGTTGCAAAAGGCTGTAATTGTACAGTAATTCACTGCCACCTTATTTCTGAAATCCCTGCAGATGATTCCCACCAGACAGACTGCTTCGGTAAGCAGTTCATTTCAATACCTCACAAAAGCTACAGCAGAGAGCAGGGCGAGGACAAAACGAAGCAGAAGTGATTTACTGAGCAAGCAGTGTCATCACTCTGCTGCACATCATGCCTTTGCGAGATAGAAATTTGTCGCTTCATCTTACCTTACAGAACAAACAAGATTAAGTGGCGGAGGCACAAAAAGCTGTCCCGGCTCTCTGGGCCCAAGGCACATTTGCAGACGTGTATTAGGGCCTTTCCTGTGCTTGTTGGCAGGATGGTGTTTTGGCATGCAGCACATCTCATCAACAACTACCTGCTTTAGGTGATTGAATCTGGTACTGCCAGTGTGACATCCTCCTGATTTAAAGCCTTCCCTTGTGAATTATGCGAAAACGTAACTTGGTTTTTACCGATAAAAAATTCAGATTAGTCTGACTCATGCCGAGTAGAGCAGGAGCTGGAGTCACTTCTGGAACTGGAGGAAGCCACCGTGATGCAAAACTGTAGGGAAGTGAGTGTGAGTGTGAGTATGTATGTGTGTGTGTGTGCACTCCAAGGAGAGCTCTGCAGCAGTTGCTAGACAGAAAACCAAGAAGACTGTTATAATCTTAAGGACAGGAAAGTGAAACTCGGTAATTCCCACAGAGCAAATACTCTTTGGCTCCATTATCAATCCAGATTAAATCCCTGGGTCTCCACACTCAATCACTTACAGTGAAGTCAACGCTTGCCTGCTGCTCGAACAAGCGCTCTTATCTGACTTTGTGTTCAGGGCACAGAATTCTCTTTGGTTTTAAAATTTTAATAATAAATTATATTTTAGAAAACCAATACAGCTTCTGTGCAAGGAAAGGCGTATTGCTTGCAGCTATTTGATTTTATAATTTAGAATTTCCTTTTTTTTCCTCATTTTAATGTCAGCGCTGAGGTATTTGCTAATGGGAGAACCAGTGTATCATTAGAAATTCTGCCTGATCTTCCTCCACCCAGTCTTGCCACCACCCAAAACAAAGGAGCAAGCAGCAGCCTGCCCTGGCTGGCTTGAGGAGTTCACCGAGGAAGCGATCAGATCACATCTCGGTTAGGATCTCCTGTCTTCCTGGGAGTGAGAAATGCAATTCCTGAGAAAAAAAAAAAATAAAAGGGCATGTGTTAAATGCCAGAGAGAAGACACAGAACGAGTTTCAAAACTCCTGCAGGCTTTGGCACTGTCTGCGGTTAAAAGGACCAGTGCCTGAAAGACGTGAGAAAAGCACGTTGAGAGTATTTTGGGAACAGCCCTGCATGGGGAGGATGCAGTAGGGCTGCGTGGATGCTGAGAACACTGCACTCTCCTTCTGCATGCAGGGGTGGATGAATGTGAGAGACACCAGCGGCTCTTTTGCCTAATTCTGGGAATATGCAATGATTTGGGCAGTGCTGATGGGAAACCCAGACTCAGCTGAACCCCTTCAGTACACCTGGACCACAGTACGCCGGGACCTGACCCTTCTCCCGGGTGTGATGTGGCTGTAGGGTCCCATCTCTGGTGCCACTGGCAGTGCCCGAAGGGCACCGGGCAGCATGGTTCTCCCTTGGTTGTGGACAGGGGAGAGCAAGGTGCAGTGCTCCTTAGCAGCAGGCAGGTCTGACTGGGTATGTCAAGGCTGCAGATCTGGAAATCTAAATTCTTCAGGTGAAACCCGTAAAAACTTAGGTCAGCAGTTCTACGCTCAGCAAGCTTACTTGAACCATTTAATCTGACCAAGTGCTGTTAAAACTGCCATAGACCTCAGCTTTTGAGACTGCCTTGGTTTGTAAACCACATTTTTTAAAGAATACAAACTTCACAAGACAAGGATGAGTAACCAAATCTACAGCTTCAGATGGACTGTTCCCTATTTCACAAACTTGGCATAAACAGGAGCTTGCACAGCCCGGGTGTGCGTACAGACGAGTCTTTAGATGTCTTTAGGTGTCAAAGACACCAAGGCAGAGCAGGAACCAGGCGGTTCATGGGTAGGACAGGGGCACAAGGAAGTTACAGGGGCGATAAGACAGAGCTGGGTAGAGACAGAGGGACACAGGATGTAGGCATAAAGTAAGATATACTCAATTCCAAAGGAGATTTGGGCTTTTTTTTTTTGGTTCATTTCTCTGAAAGCTGCTTGTTTCACCCGGTATTCAATCACGGCTTTGGAAGGGCCGACAAGCTACAATGGGCAAGCATGTTCCTGCCATAAAACAGGGAGTTCCTCGTGCCGATCACCTCATGGCTGAGACAGAAGCCTTTCTTCCTTACATCAGCTGGATGTCTTTTGTTATCTGAACCCATCCCCTCTCTAATTGCACTAATTAATGCCACTGCAAATCTCTTGATGTTTCTCATGTACAGAACACTGTTACCTTGCATCTCACTTTGATGAGGGTGAACCTGCTGTTTACGACTCGATTCCTCTGTTAGCAATGACCTGTTAAGGGATGAAGCCGGCACATGCACCAAAACACCAACCCTGATGGAGACCCCCCACCGAAATCTGGGCACCCTGCTTGGGTTTCTCTGCTCTCAGCTGCTGTGGGTGTAACAAGCACAGGGAGAGACAAGAGAAAACTGCGGAAGTCAGAAAAGGGAATTGGTCCTGATTGTGTTGATGACAGCTCTTTATCAACTCCTTCCTTCCTTCCAGCCCTCGGCATCCAAACTCTGCGTGTTGGCTTCAGCTGAAGCAGATGGCTCCCACTGCTCCTGAAACTGGAGGATTATTCCTGTAGTAATGAAATAAAAACCATTGATGTTGCCATTCCAGGCTTCGACCAGGGAAGATGGCTGCGGTCCAGTTTACAAATCCGAGTCCAGAATGACTTCCTAGAAGCCAGCAGAGTTGTTCCAGCTTTACGGCTCTCTCAAACGTACCATTTCAGCACGTTTATGCCCTTTTTCTCGTAACGATGTGAAGTGATGGCATGCATCCACTCAACTTTCTTCATTTTCTCTTTTTCTTTTAAAGTATATTCGGTGCTGTTCGAACTGGTGCTTATATGCTGTACATTTTGATGACCAAAGGCCTGAAGCAGTCAGTGTGTGACCAGAGTTTCTACATTGGACCTGTCAGCAAATTCTGGGCATATGCATTTGTGCTAAGCAAAGCACCCGAACTAGGTGAGTACCCTCCCTCCCTTTCTCTCACCATGCGTACTTAGAGCAGAAATGTCTCCGTAGGAAGCACAGGAAGGGTCTGGGCACTGTCAAAACCTCGTTTTAGCCTTAGAAAAACATGAGCAAAAGAAAAACCCCAACCCCAAACTCCACATGGTTTAGTCTCTAGAGATTAAAAGCAGCTTGGCTGCAGTTAGAGCAGTGTGCAGCTGAACAAGACCATTCCCACCCCAGGAATAAACCGCCGTGATTATACACAGCAGGGCAAGAGGTAAGAGCCATCTGGCCCATACGTCTTCCTCAGCTACTCGTAGGCAAATATGAGTAGCATAATCGATGGTCACTCATGTCCTGAGTACTGGAGGGAAGGGTGGGCTACAGCAGCTCTGTCAGCAAGAAGCTTTGAGTCAGGTTCTTCCTCCATTCTGCAACATTCGTCCTTAAATACACGTGTAGGCGTACAATTATGAACGCTAACGTGCGTCCTCCCTAAACACTGAAAGCTGTTGCTGTCTGCTTCCTCCAAATAGAAACTGATTTCCCATAATATCCCTCGCTTTTCCAGTCCTGATTCTTGTAAACTCCTGTCTCTGGTAGTTTTTTTGGTAAGAATACTTACGATAACCAGTCTGCATGTGTTCTCATCCTGTGGCTTATTAATGCAGGAAAGGATTTTTTTTAATGGGAAGGAGAAGGCAGTGATTTAGCAGCCCTCCAGCTTTCATTTCGGAGGAGCCTCAAAGGGCTGCAGCACTCGCTGTGTTCAGGTGTACAGCAAAAAAATAATAAGTCTTCACCTTTCAGCAGAGGATTTGATTCAGCAAATTACAGGGCAGCAATTCATCAGCATAAAAACTGGAAAGAGACACCGGTTGCCTTGCTGTGTCATAATCCCTTGGTTTCCTGCTGCTTAAATTACTGCAAAACCACGGAAATTTACTTGTTAAAGCTGGAAGAAAAAAAAAGGCAGCTAGAGCTGCGCAGCAACAATAAATTGAACATGTGATTGCTTATTAAAATATGAGTCAGCATCTTGCAGCTAATGAAGTAAATAGTAGCATTATGGCTTATTACAGGCCTTGTGCAGACAGTGCAGTTTTGGTTCCACCTCTCACTATTATTCCTGATTTGGATTTCCTGGGACACGTATATGTAGAAATAAGTCCCCAGGTTCAAATCGCAGGGATCTTTATGGAAATGCTGTGTCTACAACATGAGAAAACAAGGAGCAAATGTATATCTAATTGAGATGCTCAGTGTAATCATGAGATCGAGAAAACAAGGAGCAGATGTATATCTGAGATGCTCAGTGTAATCATGAGATGCAGAAGGAAGAAAAAAGCAGGAAAGAAGAATAAAATTTACTTTTCTACAATAGCAACATGAATTTACAGAAAAGGATGGTCATTTCAACATAAACCCAGTTTCTTTCTAGAAGCATTTTTTCCCTGGCAATTACATACCTTTCCATGTTGTATGTATGCAATAGCTTTTTGCATAGGAGCTCGAAGGCTCTGCTGTGTTTATGGAGGTTCAGTTTGCAGGTAGGCGTTGGAATCGGAGGGCACTGTGCTGCTTCTCCAGGATTTCTGCTCGCTGTCGAGCTGCATTTCTCGTCTGGTCTCTGTACATAATGGACAGTCTTACAGTCAGAGACGATACACGTGTATCCACACCTCAGACTTTCACGGATTGTGTTTGTGGCAAAGGGCTACCAAGCAAACCTGTGGAATTTTTAAACAGGGTTGTACACAAAGGAGCGTGTGGGTAGGTTGGTTTCCTGAAGATTGCGTAGAGATTAGGAGCCAAGCTGGCTCTTAGATCAGACTCTCAGGTCTAGGGCTGAGGTGGTTTCCACGCTCCGTATACTCCAGCAGCGGCGAGGGCGGAGCGCACTGCAGTAATTATGGAATTGCTCAATATGTTTCTCATCTCCTCCCCTCCTTTTTTTTCCCTTTTTTTTTTGTTTTGTTCTGTTACAGGTGATACAATATTCATTATTCTTAGGAAACAGAAGCTCATCTTCTTACACTGGTACCATCACATTACCGTGTTACTTTATTCTTGGTATTCCTACAAGGACATGGTGGCTGGCGGTGGCTGGTTCATGACCATGAACTATGGAGTGCACGCCGTTATGTACTCTTACTATGCCTTGCGGGCTGCTGGCTTCAGAGTCTCACGCAAGTTTGCCATGTTCATCACCTTGTCGCAGATCACTCAGATGTTGATCGGCTGCGTGGTTAACTACCTGGTCTTCTCCTGGATGCAGCAGGGCCAGTGCCATTCCCACGTGCAGAACATCATCTGGTCCTCTCTCATGTACCTCAGCTACTTTGTGCTCTTCTGCCATTTTTTCTTTGAGGCCTATATCGGCAAAACCAGAAAAGAAAGGAAGGTTGACTAGGGGTAGAAACGAGAAGCCATAGCTCAGGGTCATCAAGAAAACAACAAAATTATAAGAAAATGGCACAAGGAAACACATATTTGTATGGTGCAGGTAAAACTTGGCAGCTTAGGGAAAGTTAGCTTGGTTTAACCCAGTAAGTTTATGATCCTATCATGGTGAGGACTCACTGAATTCTACTCTATCTCAAAGGACTGCTGATGAAAGACAACTTCCTTCTTGTACCTGTCTGCTCTAGAAAAGAAAGGAGAAAAGAAAGAAGAGGAAGAAAAAAAAAAAAGGAAAGGAAAAAAGAAAAAAAGAGAAGAAAAGGCATGATGTTGAGGGGAAAAAAAGTACATTAAATAAGAGCGCGTTTCCCCAGGGTGGAGGAGAGACTTTTATTTAAAAACCCACAAAGTTTCTAAATCCTGTCTAATAATTTTTCAGCGCTAAACTTGAACAAAACAAAGCAGAAAGGTGACAAAAAGAAATTAAAAAATCTGTCTTCGATAACAGTATGATTACAAAATTAAAATGTTTTCCGTAGAAGGTTGGTACCTCTAGCCAAAATGAAAGCCCAGAGGATGTTTCCTGCCTGGGAAGAGGCTGAACTCCACACTCTGGTCGTGGATGGTGAAGAGAAGAGGTTGGTTTCTCCGCGACGTACTCTGCCAGGGGAGCAGCGCTGGGACGCAGTCGCCTCCCCCAGAAGGCGGGAAGGAGCAGTACTTTTACAAGAGTTTAATGTGAAAAGATGCACTGTTGCAATACATATCTCAGAGAGTGCATTTTCCAAGTGCATTTTTCCGTTAAAGGCAAGGAAATTTTTGCAGCAGAATAAGTCATAGAGGGTTAAATAAATCAGTATTTGCTAAATCACCAGGGGCTAATAGCAGAGGGATGTTCGGGAAGGAGAGGGAGACCACTCCCCTCATGTGATTTTTAGGAATTACCTGTTAATCTCAATTAACCCGCAGCAACACTGAATTAAATGGGGGAAATCGGAAGAAATCCTAGGTAGCGAGAGGAGAGTGATGTATCTGCCCACTGTTTTCGGAACAGAGCCCTGTGGTAGGATATTCTGTATTTTTTGTGGACACGAGGATACCTGCCTGGCTGGGAAGAGGTGGCAGGACTGGGTGACACTGGGTAACACTGTGCTTCTGCGTCTGCCTCCTGGGCAGCGCGGAGATGTTCAAAGTGCCCTCCTCTGGTCATGTGGAGATACTACTACAAAACATACTTGGAATAGGTTTTTCTTGGATTTGTATAGGGAAAAAAAAAAAAATAGTCTAAAAGGAGTAGTTTTGCTGCAACAGCTTAACTCTAAAGTCCAGAGAGAATTATCCTGCGTTAAATATATGTCTCTCTCCGCAGCATCTGTACTGTAACATCAGACTGACCACTTAAGAAGACAGGCTTGCTTCTCTGAAGTCAGCAAGGGAGAGGAGGAGACACCTATTTCACTCTGAACCTTAGAGAGGTAGTTGAGAACAGCCATATTCTTTCAAAGACAAGTAGGTTGCATCATCTGTGATATTCCAGTCCTTACAAAGCCAAATAAAACGTGTAATAAACGTTCCTAGTATTTCAAAGACACAAGTATGTAAACTTGATGTTAAATGTGTTAATGTAGTATTCTAAATTGTATCAGTTAGGTAGTTTAACTAAACAATTAGAAGAACTAGATCAACAAAATAGGGACTGCTGTTCTGCGTAGGATATACACACACCTATAACTACACCCATATACACATTCTGTGAATTGTCAACAAGAAAAAAAAAGCCCAGTGGCAGAGAATCACGTTTCCTGGCTAATGCGAAAGATTGTCATTAACTTTCTCGCTTTAATTTCAGATTGTACAGTACAAAGGGGTTATCTTTTTTTTTTGATTGTTTTTAATTCTGATTTTTAGCTTTAATTGTGCTGTCATTCATGAAGCAGAGCTGCTTTAGTATCCTGTTACGAGATGACAAGGGCTTTCGGTGTCTCATTATATACAAAAGAAAAACAAATAAAGTTACATTCCGTGTTACGTGAATGGTCTTACAAATCAAAAAGCCTTTGCGGGCTAAAATCATAACGAGCAGAAAATGAGTTTACATTTGTGTTATTTAAGTTATTGATGTGCTGACGTTATTTTATGGTACACAGCAAATAGCAAAATGTGATATGCAGTAATGAAGCTATGATATTCATTAATAGGACTACTGTATACGTGGAAATATTAGACAAAACCAATTAAATGTGTAAACCATTTTGTTATACAGCTTGGGAGTAGATAATTATAATGCTGAATAAGCCTTTTTCCTCATGCTTAATTTTGCCCTGGCTAAGAGCAGGTTGAGAAGACGGGTTAAGAGTGGAAAAGGCAAAATTAGAGTTAACTGCAATTAGATGAGAAGCATTGGTAGAAACCCATCGTGCCATTTAAACCCTCCGTCCTGTCTGTCCTGGGTCTTTCAACTAAAACAAGAGGGGGTGGAAGTGGTCTGGCGTCTGGAGCTGAAGCTGGAGCCAAAATCTTGGACGCTGTGAAGTCAGTGGAGGCTTTGCTGTGCTTTGAACAGAGCCGGTGTGTCCGACTGCCCGCTACACGGGCAGAGGGCAAGGAACCAAACAGCCTCCTGCTAATTTGAGGCTAATGACCTAAAAGCCCCATAAACGTTAATCAGAAGGAAGGAGCACCTCAGCAAGGCAAGGATGCAGAGCTGAAGCTTAACATGGGCAGCAAACAGGGCGGGTTGCAAATTTACTGTGTTTCTTACAGTTTTCCTTAATGGCCTAAGAGGAAAACCACCCCAAACCTGTGCGTGCTGGATGGCAACGCCGGCCATGCCGACACTGACTTCAGCAGGGCAAGAATTCCACCTGCTTTCACCCCCTCCTAAAGCCCTCGCGGGTACCTCCGCACCGTCCCCAGCGCCTGCTCCTGCCGTGCCCACCGCCCCGCCAGCCAGGGCTGGGTGGCCCAGGACCACCTTCCTGCCTGGGAGGTGGCTCCGGTGCCGAAACCAGCCCGAGCCACCACCTCAAAACGCAGGGCAGGGGTACCCCAGCGGGAACCGGCGCTGAATTCGGGGGTGATGGGGATGCAGGCAAGCGCACGTGTAGGG